AATAAAAATTGCATTATAGTGAATATTTTTTTTAGTTTACTGTATAAGTTGGCGACCCCACAGAAAGCCCGTCGCGACCCATAGGTTGGGAACCCGTGTATTAGAGCTCTCCATGAACTGGATATTGCATTGGCATCTTTATAATTTACTGTTTGCCCCCCCTCAAAGATATTTGTCATGCTTCTGGGTATCTTATAATATTTTTACTTTGCACTGTTTGGATTATTTCAGCCTGATTCCAGTCTACTGAGATAGATTCTAGGTCAGACATCACATAAGTCTCTAATGTGGTAGAAGGGACTTAGCCTTCTGAATGCTGTCTTGTGTTCTTTAATTCTTGATATTAATGACTGACTGGTAGCACCTATCTAGTAAGATCTCAATCAATCCTACTGTCTTTTGAGTGGTATTTTGTATACATCTGGAATATATGTTGGATCAATGGGATCTTTGTCATTCCACAGTATTCCATATATAGTGGGGTTTTTTATATCAATCCAATGCACGTCGAAATGGACCTTCATGTCAGAGTCCCCTGGAATATGTGAAGGTCCATTTAAATCAAGCCAAAATCATAAAGCAGTATATTGAACAACATGCAATTTTTATAAAGCAGTTTTTTAAAATTTTAAATCATTTTGTATTCTATTTTATATCTATTTTATCAATTTTCATTTTATTGTGTGCAGTTATTATCATTGTTGCTAATATATTTATGTAACACCTGTTTTTACATTCAAATAACCTAAATTCAATAAATCTAATAACTAATGCAGGATTATATATTGGCTTTCCTATTGTTTAAGCATTAATTAGTCATACTGTAGCTCAAACGTAGTTCAATGTTAGTTACTCAAATTTTCTTTGCCAAGGAATAATTAAGATTAGTTTTCTGGACCTATCTTCAGAAAATAAATTATCAATAAAGTGAAACCTCATTTATTTGATCTTTTCACAAAGCCTTTCTTCAACTTCTACTTAGCACAGAGCTGAAAAAAGGAAGAAGGTATATATATCCTATATATATGAATACACTATACTTCCTTAAAAGGGCATTCAAATTTCCATTTATAACTCTAATTTAGATACAAAACAAAAAAAGCATAACACTAAAAATAACTATAGACCATAACTGATCATAATAATAATAATAATATTAAGCTAAAGCTAGCAATATTTGCCAGATATAATCATTCACTTTTATAACCATTTAAAAGGGAGAGTTTTTTAAATGAATAAAACGAAATGTTATGTCCTTTGAATCAAACATTCACCCAAGTTTAAGAATTACTCAAAAGATAATTTTATTCTCAGATATTTTATTTAAATGCATTTCAGATTGGAGTTTCTGCCAATCCCTTTTCAGTAAAGGTAAAATCTGCAACCAAGTTTACTCCAATTTTCTGAGCCTCTCCAACATCAATCATGGTAACATTCAGAGGGATGTAACATTTCATTTTATTTACCCAAAAAACCCCCTTTCAAATGGTTATAAAAGGAAAACATTTTAAGTATCTGAACAGAGTTATGCAACTTCTTTATCACTTTGTTTCCATTAGAAAAATAATTTATATATTTTACATTTTAAATCCTTGCATAATTTTGTATAGTTTAAATATAAACAAATATAAATGTTGCTAAACAGTTCAAAAGTCAAACCTACTTATTTGGATTAAACATTTTTTGAGATTTTCACATCATTGTCAGTTCAAACATCTAACAATAAACAAATTGCAACCAAGAACACATCTAAAGATTTGAATAACTAGTATCTAATTAATTACTTGTAATTAAATATAATATAAATTTTACAAAGTAATTGAAAAAAAGTACTGCCTTAACTCAAAAGATAATGGAAGCATACTATATCAAGTTTACGTTCATGCTATCTTAACTGTTGTTAATCCTTTTTCTAAAAAGCAGAGTTTTCATTTCTATCAATTATACATAATTTAACAAACTTTTCTAAGTATTGGACTGGCCAATAAGTCCATGCATTTTTAGGTGAAAATAAAAGACAATTTTTTTAAATAAAAAATAAAAATTTTATTCAATAATATATTCACCATTTTCATTGAGTACATTTTGTCATGTTTTGGGAAATTTCACAATATCTTGTTTAAAAAATTTCTTTCTTTTTTTTTTTTTTTTTTATGAAAAACTGTTTCGAGTGCCGTTTTATGCCATCACTGGAAACAAAGCACTGTTCTTTTAAAGAATTTTGAAGAGGGGTCTAACAAATGGTAATCAGAAAGGACAAGGTTGGGAAAATATGGAGGATGAGGTATGACATTCCAGCCAAGTTCCAACAATTTTTACTGGGTTTGCAACAACACATGTGGCAGAAGACGACACCCTTGTGACTCACTACTTCTGGACACTTCTCCTGAATTGCTGTGTTTGATTTCTCCAGCTAGTCATAGTATACATTGAAATTGACTGTTTTGTCTTTGGAAGTAGTTGACAAAACAAAACACCCTTCCAATCCCACCAAATCAAGAGTATGACTATGTTTGGACAAAGTCCAGCTTTTGGAGTGGTTTGTGCCAGTTCGCTGCACTTTCCCCACAATTTTTTGTGATTGATGTTGATGTAAACAATCCATTTTTCATCATTCCATCACCATTCACTTCCCTCACATTTTAGAGAATTGCAGATGAAAATGTGAGTGATGTGATTGGCTTCACTAAGTTTGTGAGAAATCCAAACATCAAGCTTATTGACGTATCCAAGTTAACACACATGATTTTGACATTTAAAAAATATCTGCAATCTCCTGCTTTATATGGCATGAATTACTATCAACTAATTCTTTTATTTGATTGCTGTCTAACCCAATTGGCCAACTTGATCACGGTGCATCTAGAATGGAAAAATCTTCAGAATGAAATCTTGCAAACCACTTCTAGTACACACATTCTTTCATGACATCCTTACTGTAGACCTCACATTTTTTTTTTACAGGTTTGCACACATTTTTGCCTTTTTTAAAATAAAAAAGCATAACGTGTCAATAATGCATGTTTTGTTCATCCATCTTTTGAATACTGACAAGCACACAAAATAAAACTATTGGTCAAGCTTTATTTTTTTTATAAGTGTTGGTGTAATGTCACTTGTCAATCAATCAGGTGTTTTCTTCAAAGTTTAAACTACTAATAATTGCTTTTCAGAGCATCTACTGCTATCAGTAAAAACTGCACAAACCTCTTGGCCAATCCAATATTTAATAGAAAATAAATATTTGTATATTGTTAGAAAAATAATTGCAAAGTGTCTATTAATCATAAATTCATATAAGTTATAATTAATATCCAAAAATAAAGTAATTTACATATATTACAATAAAAGTCAGACCAATGTTCTCATAGAAAATTGAATTTTTATTTTGTTTACAGAATAATAAAATATACAGACAATTTACTATTATGATGCATAAAACATGAATAAAATATAATTCTTATACAGAAATTTAATTGTGAACAACCTGTAAGGAACCAAGTCTGAGCTTTATTTTTATTTTACTTTTATTTTGCTTTCATTATATTTTGTTTGGGGCTTATGTTTAGTTAAGACGAAGGTTTCCTCACCATTCACCTTAGTAACTTAAAAATAGAAGAAAAAACCAACTCACCGACGAAAGAAAAGCACCGTAGAAAAACTCGCGCACACTTGCGCTTCCCAAGCGGAAAAAAGTAAGTCCGCACCGAGAAAAGGGGGGAAGACCCCACAACCCAGTTAGGAATCGCTAAACCTTAAAAGAATAAAGCATCCCNTAAGTTATAATATGAAGGACATACAGAAAATAAAGAACATTTGGCTATAAAAGTATATATATATATATAAACAGTAATGATAAAAAAAAGTTTTAAGTAAATAGTATAAAACCAATTACTTTTCTATATAGTCACCATTACGGTTAAAATAATTGTCATAGGTAACACTAGTTTTTGTATCCTTTGTCATATACTTTCACCACCAGTTCTTTATTGACAGCATCTTTCACTTCTAATCCATTCCAAAATTACTCAAAAAATTTTTCAGCTTAGAAAAGAGGAGAAAGTAACTGGGAGCCAGGTTGAGACTGTATGGTGGGTGGTCAAAATTGTTCCAGCCAAATTTCTGAAGACAGCTTAAGTATAGCTGTAACTACAGTTGGCCCTTGGGTTGGTTCATTTATGTCTTTAAGAGGTGACAGAATTGTTTATGAATGCACATATACTTGTGGACTATCCACATGCACATGACCTCTTTTCAAGACTAAATGAAGCCCAAAGAAGTATAAGTTATGTGCATTTGTAAACAATTCTATAATCTCTTAAAGATGCAAAAACGAACCAATCCAAGGGTGAGCTCTAGTTGTGTGGCTATAACTGCAGCAGAGTGAGTTTGTGCATTATCCTTTGTGATTAAACATTAAACACTATTTTCTCAGACTTGCAACATTTGTAATGTGGTCACCATACACTTCTGAGATTTGTTTATGAATTTCTATAGAATGAACTTCACATTTAGAAAATGAACAACACTTCACAGTTTGCACTTGGCAGAATTTTTGATTTTTGTACACATTTAACTCTTGACAAAACAATAACAATAAGCCTGCTGTTATTAAAACTCCACAAGTGCAAAGCTAACACATTAGAAAACAAATTGTCCTTGAATTGATGATGGTAATTTACCTTGCAGAGGACTACATGAAAATATTCTTTATTTACTGGATGCCCCTCATAAATTAAGAATTCAAAAATAAATACAATCTTAGAAAATAAAGCATATGGTTACAGCAAGAACAAATTTGCCAAAAACATTCATAACTTTGACAAAAAGCCACTGTATCACAAGCATCTAACTTACACAGGGTTCATTGTACCTGAATATAATTTTTTAATAATTACATTTAATTACCTCAAACAATAATTTTTTGGTAATATATTGTTATTATCTAAATTTGCTTTTCAGAACTGTTATGTTTATTTTATATTAAGTTGAATACTCACCCAATACCACATTCCTTGATGACAAAAAATCCCATGGTAGCTGTAAAAGAAATTTTATTCATCAAAGTTTTTATATTTGTTATAAAATTTCCAAATATTTTGATGTATTATTATAAAGAATTTATCTCCACTATAGATATTAATTTATTTAAAGGAAATGAATCTTTTATACAAATGATATGGCATTTGAAAATATTACTAATACAAAAGCCACCGTCTGTGTGTGTGAGTTCCTTATAACTCCTGCAATTTTTTTGTCCAATACAGATGAAATTTTGGTTATATTTGTTTTATGTTCTGATGGAAAGTAAAAGCTACTTATTTTGCAAAAATATTGGCTACAGTATATATGTTTTATCGATTTTGGATCAGAGATCACATTATTGTTGCAGTGACATCTATGACCACATGGCATTCATGCTCAATGAGAAAATTTCCCTTAAGTTACATTTTCAAATATTTTGCCAAATGGCTTATTTTAAATTTCATTCAATTTAAACCAGGGGTGTCCAACCCGCGGCCCGCATGCGGCCCAAGACAAGTTCCAATGCGGCCCAATAAACGTGTAAACAAAACTGACAAATGTTTTAATTTTTTTATTATATATTTATTTCAACGGCATAAACTCAAAAAAGAAGTTTCGCAAAGCTGTAAACGTTTATTCATATTTTATTTTTCAGTGGAAAGGAAATATTTTCAAATACTTGGGGATGTGTGAATGAGGAAGGATTACTAAATAAAGCTGGAGTTGTGACTCAAAGAATTATAGACCCAAATTTGGGAAAGGAGGGAAAGGTGAGAAAGGACAAAAGAGGTAGTAGTGAGAAAGGTAAAATAGATCTTCTGTTAAGCAAATATGAACCCTTAATTTTCCAACCTTTCTCACTTTTTCATCTTTTGTCTTTTCTCTCCTTTCCCCGCATTTGGTCTATAATCCTTTGAGTCACAACTCCAGCTTTATTTAGTATTTCTTCCAACGTTGCATGATTTAGCTACATTTGCTCCAAATGTGGCTACTTTTTTGGTTTGAGGTAAAAAATATCATTTGGCGCTTTGGCTACTTCTTGGGCTACATATTATTTATATATTAGTTGAATAAAAATGCACTTTAAAATGGTGTTTCGTCGCTTTTTATTAATTAGA